GTCCTTTGAACTGGGTATGGTAGTAGGTGCCAGGCGCACCGGTTTGTGTCAAGAACTGCAACGCTGCTGGGTTTTTCACGCTCAACCGTTTCTCGTGTTTATCAAGAATTGTCCACTACCTAAAGGACATCCAGCCAACTTAACACAACTGTGGGAAGCATTGGAGTCAACATGGGCCAGCATCCCTGTGGAACGGTTTCGACACCTTGTGGAGTCCATACCCCGATGAATTGAGGCTGTTCTGAGGGCAGAACAGGTGTTCCTAATGTTTGGTATACTCAATGTGTATAACACACTTCATGTTATTTTAACACACTAATTATATTTTTCTAAAGTCGATGTGTTGTTTTTTTTACAAGAAAAATAACAGGACAGGATACATTGCAAGACAAAAAAACAACAGTTACCTGGACATTACTTTATAGGAATGATTTGCCATTGGTAAGTAAAGTTTAGAATACGGTTCAGTCTGTGGGTGAGACTGTTGTGGCTGTACCTGACCCACCCAGTGATCAGAAGACTGTAGAAATAACCGAAACACAGATAAACAGCAAAACATCGCCCTCTGGTGTGCAGAGCTCACCCAGCAGCCGGGGGGGAACAACACGACCCAAGAAGAGGTGAGTTTGAATCCCTAAACCACAGGTAGGCTATAAAACATTACTAAACATTTCAATTTCAATTATTTTGTCTTTTAGAGTGATGAAGCGATGCAACATCACTCGTGCCAGGATGCAAGAGAAAAGGTAATGAATCAACTTCTATGCTCCGCCATCCCAGGTAACTGTAATAATTTATCTATGCCCATCAGGAACCCACCCAGTAGCTCAGGTTATGATGAGAGCTTTGTCTGTTCACAGAGAAGCTAGCCATGGCTTTACAGAATAGGAGCTAGTGGAGCAGGAAGAGGAGAGTGATTCTGAATCCGAGGAAGAGGAAGGAGTTGGTCCACTAGAAAGAAACATTAACATTTTAGTCATTTAGCAGACGCTCTTATCCAGAGCGACTTACAGTTAGTGAGTGCATACATTTTCCCGTGGGAATCGAACCCACAACCCTGACGTTGCAAACGCCATGCTGTACCAACTGAGCTACACGGGAAACCCAGACCAAACCAGAGCCAGTGGACAACAAGGGCCATCAGGTATATGAGTGCTGTGCCACATGAACATACTTTCTCACCACTTATCTGTGGCCTAACTTCTATTCCTCTCTTTATGGACTAAGCATGGCTAGCCTGAGAAATTAACTACGCTGTCTCAGTCTGGAACCATGGAAACTGCTTGCCATTGCATCATTAATGAGGGGTGTTACAACAAGGCTAGGGACACTGATACACCTATTGTATTTTGTTTCTAAGATATTCCACATAGTGAAGGCGCTCTTGGCGAGAGTGGTTACAGACTGTGATAGATCATCGTGGGAAAGCAGCTCATGGCTGAAGCAGAGATGAGAAGTGTCCGAAAATTTGGGCCAATGACGAATAAGGTTTTAAAAAGGGAAAAATATTAATTTGGAAACTCATTTTATGTTCCCTTGAGTGTTACCTATGCACTTTCAGGATTTGTCACAACAACAAAAAATGTGTACAAAAATTGTCTTTTTATGCAACTGTTAAATTTACCTCCTAAAAAAAGTAATTCTGTGCGACCATTAATTTGTTATATAACAAATTTAAACCATATAGAATTTTACAAAAATGAATGTTTCTCTTATAGACTGAGCTTCTCTCTTCATTTTTAGACAGTAAAATAATGTTCTTATTTTTTTACATTAAAAACACTGGTATTACCGAATGATCATTGCTGGTTTCACCGAACAGTGTCATTTTTTAGGCAGATCTCTCTCTCTTTCCCTCTTACTCAAACACACAAATTAAACAGTAAGTATGGTTTCTTATTCAACAACAATGATGCCTTTAATGCTTAATAAATTTTAAAAAATGTGACTCAAATGATTATCACGCAGAAACATTTCATCATGAACATGGCAATGAACTTCTAAAAACAGGATTAAAATGATGCATTATGATTAATTTTTCAAACAATGTTTAAAACAGTTTTAAGAATCAATATAAAACATAAATAGTAAAGTTCTTGAAATACAGTAATGACATTCAAACATTAAAATCCAAAACATATAAGAAACAGTGTTCTTCTACATTACATCAATTACAGATTTAATTAAAAACAAATGAAATTGCAATATCTTGTAAAAATATTCAAATGTAACATGAAAACATCCACAAATGAGTTTAAGTTTGTTCAGAACAGTGCAAGATTAAAATAGAGAATTAAAAAATATATATATATAATTGTGAAAGCAATTCATGAGGTTCAAACATTAAAGACAAATTGTTACTTTGCAGCAAAAGTTGTAACAGATTCTCAAATTGACAATAATCCCAGACGTGCTCAATGGGATTGAGATCCGGGCTCTTCGCTGGCCATGGCAGAACACTGACATTCCTGTCTTGCAGGAAATTACACACAGAACAAGCAGTATGGCTGGTGGCATTGTCATGCTGGAGGGTCATGTCAGGATGAGCCTGCAGGAAGGGTACCACATGAAGGAGGAGGATATCTTCCCTGTAACGCACAGCGATGAGATTGCCTGCAATGACAACAAGCTCAGTCCAATGATGCTGTGACACACCGCACCAGACCATGACGGACCCTCCACCTCCAAATCGATCCCGCTCTAGAGTACAGGCCTTGGTGTAACGCTCATTCCTTCGACGATAAACGCGAATCCGACCATCATCCCTGGTGAGACGAAACCGCGACTCGTCAGTGAAGAGCACTTTTTGCCAGTCCTGTCTGGTCCAGCGACGGTGGGTTTGTGCCCATAGGTGACGTTGTTGCCGGTGATGTCTGGTGAGGACCTGCCTTACAACAGGCCTACAAGCCCTCAGTCCAGCCTCTCTCAACCTATTGCGGACAGTCTGAGCACTGATGGAGGGATTGTGCGTTCCTGGTGTAACTCGGGCAGTTGTTGTTGCCATCCTGTACCTGTCCCACAGGTGTGATGTTCGGATGTACCGATCCTGTGCAGGTGTTGTTACACGTGGTCTGCCACTGCGAGGACGATCAGCTGTCCGTCCTGTCTCCCTGTAGCGCTGTCTTAGGCGTCTCACAGTACGGACATTGCAATTTATTTCCCTGGCCACATCTGCAGTCCTCATGCCTCCTTGCAGCATGCCTAAGGCACGTTCACGCAGATGAGCAGGGACCCTGGCATCTTTCTTTTGGTGTTTTTCAGAGTCAGTAGAAAGGCCTCTTTAGTGTCCTAAGTTTTCATAACTGTGACCTTAATTGCCTACCGTCTGTAAGCTGTTAGTGTCTTAACGACCGTTCCACAGGTGCATGTTCATTAATTGTTTATGGTTAATTGAACAAGCATGGGAAACAGTGTTTAAACCCCTTACAATGAAGATCTGTGAAGTTATTTGGATTTTTACGAATTATCTTTGAAAGACAGGGTCCTAAAAAAGGGACGTTTCTTTTTTTGCTGAGTTTATATCTAGATTAATAGGATAGTAGTTATTTACTTACACATATTTTCAGTATTAGCTGCTTGTTGTGCACTATAGAATTGTATAACATGGACATAAAAACATCCTTATCCTACAAAAACTTGTTTTTACTTAAAAGTAGATAACATTATATATTTCTGTGTACAATTAAAAATATGTAGATGAATAGATAATTTAATACAAAGACAAAGAGATTGATATCATTCAGTACAACTGTTTAGTCATATGGTGCTACTGGGATTTCTGGAGACTCCGAATGATAGTTTTGTCTGTACCGTATGACTTTTCTCACGTAAACATGTTTTACAGGCAACTGCTTGTGCACCCAATGAGAACACTTGACTTTGACCTTAAGTATGTATCATGAGTATCAAAATAAAATACAAGCTTTTCAGATAATTCCACATTTGTATTGTTTTTTTTAGCGGTTGTACCGAATTATGCAATTTTTTGGGGGTAAAACCTGACAGGGAGTGGAAATGAGAACTTATTAAACATTTACGAGAGACTTGCTAACCTTTCTTCTTAATCAAAGGGTATCTAACAGGCATCTTAATGATGTAACATATTGTCACGAGTATCATCATATGATTTGATCCAAAATGGTGACTATGTCGGTTGCACCGAATGATAATCAAAAGGCCATTTTTTTCGGACAAAAATATTTCAAGTATTTAAAACCTTTCTGCCTCAACTGTCTTACTCATATACAAGTGTAGTGCAGTAGACCCTTACAAAATCATGCCAGAATAATATTTTGACACTTTTGTTTAGATTTAAGATGTTTTATTAACAGTTATATAGATTACATTTGTCTTCTGAGCACCATTAACTATTTTAGGATACAGTAAAAGAGAAAATGCATAGTTACATAACATAAAATGGTATATATTGGTTGTTGAATTTTTTTGAAAATATTTCATTGGGACACCAAAATATGCACGTCTTACCATTGACCCATTTACATCCTAGTTGTGTGTACCCAGAGTGCCTTTCTCAGATATACAGATTTGTCGACAATACCCTTCTGCTGCAGCAGAGTAACCTCCATGCTGCCAGGTGGATGCTAGAGCAAACCACAGACACCCTCTCACCAGTAGCCTGCAAATGATACTATAAAACCACAATATTTGTTAATGTAGAGCTCATGTTCATCATTTATATGCATTTCTTTCATTTGACTGGAGTTAATCAGGGATTTTGTTTTATACATCCTTAGTGTTTTTTTAATGTTTTATTCATCTTTTATTGCTTGTTTGCTTTTACTTATTTAATTTAATTGTTTTACTGTAAAATGTGTTGATTGTATGCTATTTTAAATGCACTTATACATCTCCCTTTGTTAAAATAGGACATGCATGAATGTATAATTTTGCATGTTATACTCACTGTATTGTTTGTGAGTACAGGAGTTGCAGACACACTACCATGTATCTCTCTCTCGCTGGCAGGTATAAACCAGTGGATGGCCATCGATGGTGCTTTTGTTCCTTTGATGTCATCTGGGGACCGCAGGTCCTTAGGTGTACCTCAAGACCCCCATGACAACACACTTCTGTCCTGCCTGTCTGCAGGCTTCATCTGCCCTCTCGCAGGGGCCAGAGTGAGGCTGCTCTCCCTGAACCCGGTAACTCACCGGGTAGAGGGGGACACGAGGGTAAACACACACCCCTGGGAGCCAGTCATGGGGCACTGCTTTTAGCTGAGGCGGAAGATCCTGGCTATTTTCAAGCCGACTACTATTCGTGGTTCATGACCTGCTCACAAGCATATTTACAATATCATATTTCCTAATGTTGACCTTCAAGTGGGGCTTTCAACTTTAAAACTCGAGTCCACTTCAGTGAGCAGTTATGGCAAATGCACTGTCCATTCTTGAGGCTAGACTGAGTATTGATTACATGGTACAGTGCAAGGTAAAATCAAACATGATTTTTATGGTACATTCTGTCTAAGCATATTAGGCATTGATTAATTAATTACATAGAATGTAGACACTGTTTTCAGGAGGGCTGTATGCATAATGTTTCTACAACTTAAAGTAACTGTTCAGTGTTTCCAGATTTCTATGAAATATGACCTATAATTAATTACAATATGAGTGGAATAGTTTTCCTTCCAAAAAAGTGTAATTAAGTATGTTTAAAAAGCAGCTTTTATGTGTTAGAATGGTGTGGGAGTACCCCAACAACAGAATGGTGTGGGTGTATACTGGTCATTAAAAATATTCAGGAGGATGACATCATTCTCTAAGGAAATAGCAAGCATTTTTGAAACGGTCTGTTTGAGATACAAGGTTGAGGTGGGGTTTTTGAAGTGTTTTTTTTCTCTCCAATCTATGCTTTGGCCACATACGAGTATAGGATGAGTCAACAACATTATTTGGGTATGTATTAACAGAATATTAACTTTTAAAAGTGAGATTTTCACTGTACAGTTACTTTAAATACTCTGAAGTTAATTTGTGTATGCTGGTTTTTCTTTTTTGTTCTTTCAGAAGAGATTTTGTCAACTGCTGAGGAGCTGAAAGACACTCATTTTGTGTGAATCCTTGACCTCTCATCTGGGAGGAGAGAAAGTAGAGGTTCTCATCACCAAGGTGTATAGAATGACAGACATCGCTTTGGTTAAGATATTGGACCACATTATGTGTTGTCTTGTCTGACAAGTCTGACACATTTTATTGTTAAATTCTGGAAATATTTTTGTAGATATTGTTTGTGCCAATTTGTTCTCCTTTTTTAAACTGGGGGTTTGAGTATCTGGAGAAAAACTTAAAGGAAAACTCCACCCAAAAATGATATTTTAGTATTTGTTTCATTAGTCCATTGTTGATATACAGTGGGGGAAAAAGGTATTTAGTCAGCCACCAATTGTGCAAGTTCTCCCACTTAAAAAGATGAGAGGCCTGTAATTTTCATCATAGGTACACGTCAACTATGACAGACAAATTGAGAAAAAGAAATCCAGAAAATCACATTGTAGGATTTTTAATGAATTTATTTGTAAATTATGGTGGAAAATAAGTCTTTGGGCACCTACAAACAAGCAAGATTTCTGGCTCTCACAGACCTGTAACTTCTTCTTTAAGAGGCTCCTCTGTCCTCCACTCGTTACCTGTATTAATGGCACCTGTTTGAACTTGTTATCAGTATAAAAGACACCTGTCCACAACCTCAAACAGTCACACTCCAAACTCCACTATGGCCAAGACCAAAGAGCTGTCAAAGGACACCAGAAACAAAATTGTAGACCTGCACCAGGCTGGGAAGACTGAATCTGCAATAGGTAAGCAGCTTGGTTTGAAGAAATCAACTGTGGGAGCAATTATTAGGAAATAGAAGACATACAAGACCACTGATAATCTCCCTCGATCTGGGGCTCCACGCAAGATCTCACCCCGTGGGGTCAAAATGATCACAAGAACGGTGAGCAAAAATCCCAGAACCACACGGGGGGACCTAGTGAATGACCTGCAGAGAGCTGGGACCAAAGTAACAAAGCCTACCATCAGTAACACACTACGCCGCCAGGGACTCAAATCCTGCAGTGCCAGACGTGTCCCCCTGCTTAAGCCAGTACATGTCCAGGCCCATCTGAAGTTTGCTAGAGTGCATTTGGATGATCCAGAAGAGGATTGGGAGAATGTCATATGGTCAGATGAAACCAAAATAGAACTTTTTGGTAAAAACTCAACTCGTCGTGTTTGGAGGACAAAGAATGCTGAGTTGCATCCAAAGAACACCATACCTACTGTGAAGCATGGGGGTGGAAACATCATGCTTTGGGGCTGTTTTTCTGCAAAGGGACCAGGACGACTGATCCGTGTAAAGGAAAGAATGAATGGGGCCATTTTTTTCTCATTTTGTCTGTCATAGTTGACGTGTACGTATGATGAAAATTACAGGCCTCTCTCATCTTTTTAAGTGGGAGAACTTGCACAATTGGTGGCTGACTAAATAAAATTTTTCCCCACTGTAGTCCCAAAATGTTTTGTATTTGTATTTATTAAGGACCCCCATTAGCTGCTGCCAAGGCCGCAGCTACTCTTCCTGGGGTCCAGCAACATTAAGACAGTTATATACAGTTTAAAATATTACATGACATTACATTTCATAACACTTTACCCAATACATTTAGTGTGTTCCCTCAGGCCACTACTCCACTATTACCTATACAGTGCATTCGGAAAGTATTCAGACCCCTTGACTTTTTCCACATTTTGTTACGTTACAGCCTTATTTTAAAATTGATTAAAATATTTATTTTTCCTCAATCTACACACAATACCCCATAATGACAAAGTGAAAACATGTTTTTATAATTTTTTGCTTATTTATTAAAAATAAAAAACAAACACCTTATTTACATAAGTATTCAGACCCTTTGCTATGAGACTCAAAATTGAGCTCAGGTGTATCCTGTTTCCATTTATCATCCTTGAGATGTTTCTATAACTTGATTGGAGTCCACCTGTGGTAAATTCAATTGATTGGACATGATTTGGAAAGGCACACACCTGTCTATATAAGGTCCCACAGTTGACAGTGTATGTCAGAGCAAAAACCTAGCCATGAGGTCGAAGGAATTGTCCGTAGAGCTCCGAGACAGGATTGTGTCGAGGTACAGATCTGGGGAAGGGTACCAAAAATGTCTGCAGCATTGAAGGTCCCCAAGGAAACAGTGGCCTCAATCATTCATAAATGGAAGAAGTTTGGAACCACCAAGACTCTTCCTAGAGCTGGCCACCCAGCCAAACTGAGCAATCGGGGGAGAAGGGGCCTTGGTCAGGGAGGTGACCAAGAACCCGATGGTCACTCTAACAGAGCTCCAGAGTTCCTCTGTGGAGATGGGAGAACCTTCCAGAAGGAAAACCATCTCTGCAGCACTCCACCAATCAAGCCTTTATGGTAGAGTAGCCAGATGGAAGCTACTCCTCAGTAAAAGGCACATGACAGCCCGTTTGGAGTTTGCCAAAAGGCAACTAAAGGTCTCTCATACCATGAGAAACAAGATTCTCTGGTCTGATGAAACCAAGATTGAACTCTTTGATCTGAATGCCAAGCGTCACATCTGGCGGAAACCAGGCACTGCTCATCACCTGGCCAATACCATCCCTACGGTGAAGCATGGAGGCAGCATCATGCTGTGGGGATGTTTTTCAGCGGCAGGGACTGGAAGACTAGTCAGGATCGAGGGAAAGATGAACAGAGCAAAGTACAGAGAGATCCTTGATGAAAAACTGCTTCAGGGCGCTCATGACGTCAGACTGGGGCGAAGGTTCACCTTCCAACAGGACAACGACCCTAAGCACACAGCCAAGACAACACAGGAGTGGCTTCGGGACAAGTCTCTGAATGTCCTTGAGTGGCCCAGCCAGAGCCCGGACTTGAACCCGATCGAACACCTCTGGAGACCTGAAAATAGCTGTGCAGCGACGCTCCCCATCCAACCTGACAGAGCTTGAGAGGATCTGCAGAGAAAAATGGGAGAAACTCCAATTTAATATATTTTAGAACAAGGCTGTAACGTAACAAAATGTGGAAAAAAAGTCAAGGGGTCTGAATACCTTCCGAATGCACTGTATACAATACAACGTCCATGTGGACGTGTGTGTAGAGTGTGTGTCTTATCATGTGTCTGTGCCTGTGTGTGTCTATTCACAGTCAGCTGTTCCATAAGGTGTATTTTTATATATATATTTTTTATCTGATTCTACTGCTTGCATCAGTTTCCTGATGTGGAATAGAGTTCCATGTAGCCATGGCTCTGTGTAGTACTGTGCGCCTCCCATAGTCTGTTCTTGACATGGATTGTGAAGAGACCTTTGGTGGCATGGCTTGCGGGGTATGCATGGGTGTCGGAGCTGTGTGCTAGTAGTTTAAACAGACACCTCGGTGCATTCAGCATGTCAACACTTACAAAAACAAGTAGTGATTAAGTCAATCTCTCCTCTACTTTGAGCCATGTTAGCTCTCTGTGTACATTTAAGGGCCAGCCGTGCTGCCCTGTTCTGAGCCAATTCAAATTTTACGAGGTCCCTCTTTGTGGCACCTGACCACACGACTGAACAGTAGTCCAGGTGCGACAAAACTAGGGCCTGTAGGACCTGCCTTGTTGATAGTGTTGTTAAAAAGGCAGAGCAACGCTTTATTATGGACAGACTTCTCCCCATCTTAGCTACTGTTGTATTAACATGTTTTGACCATGACAGTTTACAATCCATGGTCACCTCAAGCAGTTTAGTCACCTCAACTTGCTAAATTTCCACATTATTTATTACAAGATTTAGTTGAGGTTTAGGGTGTAGTGAATGATTTGTCCCAAATACAATGCTCTTAGTATTTGAAATATTTAGTACTAATTTATTATTTGCCACCCATTCTGAAATCTAACTGCAGCTCTTTGTTAAGTGTTGCAGTGATTTCACTCGCTGTAGTAACTGACGCGTATAGTGTTGAGTCATCCGCATTCATAGCTACACTGGCTTTCCTCAAGGCCAGTGGCATGTCATTAGTAAAGATTGAAAAAGGTAAGGGGCCTAGACAGCTGCCCAGGGGAATTCCTGATTCTACCTGGATTATGTTGAAGAGGCTTCCATTAAAGAACACCCTCTGTGTTCTGTTAGACAGGTAACTCTTTATCCACAATATAGCTGGGGGTGTAAAACCATAACACATGTTTTTCCATCAGCAGATAATGTCAAAAGCCACACTGAAGTCTAACAAAACAGCTCCCACAATCTTTTTATCATCAATTTCTCTCAGCCAATCATCAGTCATTTGTGTAAGTGCTTGTTGTATGTCCTTCCCTATAAGCGTGCTGAAAGTCTGTTGTCAATTTGTTTACAGAAAAAAAATTGCATTGTATCTGATCAGACAATTTTTTCCCCAAAAGTTTACTAAGGGTTGGTAACAGGCTGATTGGTCGGCTATTTGAGCCAGTAAAGGGGGCTTTTCTATTATTGGGTAGTGAATTACTTTTGCTTCCCTCCAGGCCTGAGGACACACATTTTCTAGTAGGCTTAGATTGAAGATATGGCAAATAGGAGTGGCAATATTGTCCACTATTATCGTCAGTAATTTTCCATCCAAGTTGATAGACAACAATACTTTTTTTCACTTCTTCCACACTCACTTGACAGAATTCAAAATTATAATGCTTGTCTTTCATAATTTGATCACTTATACTTGGATGTGTAGTGTCAGTGTTTGTTGCTGGCATGTCATGCCTAAGTTTGCTAATCTTGCCAATGAAAAAATCATTAAAGTAATTGGCAATATCAGTGGGTTTTATGATGAATGAGCCATCTGATTCAATGAATGATGGAGCTGAGTTTGCCTTTTTGCCCAAAGTTTCATTTAAGATGCTCCAAAGCTTTTTACTATCATTCTTTGTCATTTATCTTTGTTTCATAGTGTAGTTTCTTCTTCTTTTTATTCAGTTTAGTCACATGATTTCTCAATTTGCAGTACGTTTGCCAATCGGTTGTGCAGCCAGACTTATTTGCCATTCCTTTTGCCTCATCCCTCTCAACCATACCATTTTTAAATTCCTCATCAATCCATGGGGGTTTGACAGTTTTTACAGTCATTTTCTTAATGGGTGCATGCTTATTAGTAACTGGAATAAGGAATTTCATAAATGTGTCAAGGGCAGCATCTGGTTGCTCCTCATTACACACCACAGACCAAGAAATATTATTTACATCAACAACATAGGATCACTACAAAACGTATTGTATGACCTCTTATACACTTTATTAGGCCCAGCCTTTGGAACGTTGGTTTTCCTAGAAAGGCTACTATATTGTGATCACTACATCCGATGGATTTGGATACAGCTTTAAAGCAAATTTCTGCAGCATTAGTAAATATGTGATCAATACATGTTGATGATTTCATTCCTGTGCTGTTTGTAACTACCCTGGTAGGTTGACAGATAACCTGAACCAGGTTGCAGGCACTAGTTACAGTTTGAAGCTTTATCTTTAGTGGGCAGCCAGATGAAAGCCAGTCAATATTTAAATCACCCAGAAAATATACCTCTGTGTTGATATCACATACATTATCAAGCATTTCACACGTTATCCAGATACTGACTGTTAGCACTTGGTGGTCTATAGCAGCTTCCCACTAGAATGGGCTTTAGGTGAGGCAAATGAACCTGTAACCATATTACTTCAACAGTATTTAACATGAGATCCTCTCTAAGCTTTACAGGAATGTGGTTCTGAATATAAACGGCAACACCTCAACCTTTGGCATGTAGATGTTATGAACATGTATCATCAAAGGTATTATCTAAGTGAGTTTCAGAGATTGTCAGAATATTTTGTAATTATTTTTTAGTTTTACCTTTATTTAACTAGGCAAGTCAGTTAAGAACAAATGCTTATTTACAATATTGGCCTACACCGGCCAACGATGGGCCAATTGTGCGCCGCCCTATGGGACTCCCAATCACGGCCGGTTGTGATACAGCCTGGAATCGAACCAGGGGGTCTGTAGTGACACCTCAAGCACTGAGATGCAGTGCCTTAGACCGCTCCGCCACTCGGAAGCCCAATATGAATGTCAGTTACTAGAAAAGTATTGATTTCATGAACCTTGTTTCTTAAGCTACATATGTTAATGTCGGCTATTTTTAGCACTTTTCTGGGATGCTCGATTGTTTTCATTGCTTTACTGGGAAGCTTAGCAGAAGTAGACATGCTCATATTGTTAATGTTAGTGCAGGGTGAGCTGCACACAGTGGACTTCCTACTAGGGCACACCGCCTCAGTGCTAACAGTATACATCTGGTTCATAGGCACATGATTACTGCATACAATAGCTGTAGGACCAGCAGAGGCATTCAGGGTAGTTAGAGGGACATACAGTGGCTTGCGAAAGTATTCACCCCCCTTGGCATTTTTCTTATTTTGTTGCCTTACAACCTGGAATTAAAATTGATTTTTTGGGGGTTTGTATCATTTGATTTACACAACATGCCTACCACTTTGAAGATGCAAAATATTTGTTATTGTGAAACAAACAAGAAACAAGACAAAAAAACAGAACTTGAGTGTGCATAACTATTCACCACCCCAAAGTCAATAGTTTGTAGAGCCACCTTTTGCAGCAATTACAGCTGCAAGTATCTTGGGGTATGTCTCTATAAGCTTGGCACATCTAGCTCCTGGGATTTTTGCCCATTCTTCAAGGCAAAACTGCTCCAGCTCCTTCAAGTTGGATGGGTTCCACTGGTGTACAGCAATCTTTAAGTCATACCACAGATTCTCAATTGGATTGAGGTCTGAGCTTTGACTAGGCCATTCCAAGATATTTAAATGTTTCCCCTTAAACCACTCAAGTGTTGCTTTAGCAGTATGCTTAGGGTCATTGTCCTGCTGGAAGGTGAACCTCCGTCCCAGTCTCAAATCTCTGGAAGACTGAAACAGGTTTCCCTCAAGAATTTCCCTGTATTTAGCGCCATCCATCATTCCTTCAATTCTGACCAGTTTCCCAGTCACTGCCGATTAAAAACATCCCCACAGCATGATGCTGCCACCACCATGCTTCACTGTGGGGATGGTGTTCTCGGGGTGATGAGAGGTGTTGGGTTTGCGCCAGACATAGCGTTTTCCTTGATGGCCAAAAAGCTCAATTTTAGTCTCATTTGACCAGAGTACCTTCTTCCATATGTTTGGGGAGTCTCCCACATGCCTTTTGGTGAACACCAAACGTGTTTGCTTATTTTTTTCTTTAAGCAATGGCTTTTTTCTGGCCACTCTTCCGTAAAGCCCAGCTCTGTGGAGTGTATGGCTTAAAGTGGTCCTATGAACAGATACTCCAATCTCCGCTGTGGAGCTTTTCAGCTCCTTCAGGGTTATCTTTGGTCTCTTTGTTGCCTCTCTGATTAATGCCCTCCTTGCCTGGTCCGTGAGTTTTGGTGGGCGGCCCTCTCTTGGCAGGTTTGTTGTGGTGCCATATTCTTTCAATTTTTTAATAATGGATTTAATGGTGCTCCGTGGGATGTTCAAAGTTTCTGATATTTTTTTATAACCCAACCCTGATCTGTACTTCTCCACAACTTTGTCCCTGACCTGTTTGGAGTGCTCCTTGGTCTTCATGGTGCCGCTTGCTTGGTGGTGCCCCTTGTTTAGTGGTGTTGCAGACTCTGGGGCCTTTCAGAACAGGTGTATATATACTGAGATAATGTGAATTTTACTTAAAGTATAATTTCAACAATAAATAAAATAATCACATTTTAAAGAGGATTCGTAAAAAAAATGCAGGGGTTTTTACAAAAATATTTATGTCAAATCATCTTCCATATTCACATGCTTAATGTTTCCTTATGCCATAGCATAAAGACAAGCTACATGGGCTCTGGAAAAAGTACATAGAACTATACAGAAGGTAGAATAGTTGAGTAAACATCCTGAAACAGAGGATATAGTTTATAGCTCAAATGTTGAGTAAACCGCCTAAACTGGTTTCACATTAGGATGAACTTTCCAACTTGTGATGCTGCTACAAAGGAATTGCCAAAGTTATCTTGCTAGATCTTCTGTGTTTTAAGCCTACATTATCACATTATCTTGTGCACTTTTATGGCAGCAGTATTGTATTGACATTTAATGCGTTTGTTGACACTGCTTATTTTAAATCCTGCTAGAACATTTCCTCCTACACACTTTTAATAACACACTGGCCGAAACTAATGAAGACAGATCATGATTACAACACTGCAATATCGCAAACAAAATGATGTCAAATCAACAGTAGTGTAAATACTGTATAATATTTTTCCAGGCTAGCACTCACAGGTAAACCTGGACTTAAAGTTAGTGAGCAAGGTCCACTGAGATAAGAGAGACCACAACTGACGTAGACTTGGTTTAGGTTACAGAGAAGGGAGGTATCCGTTTACTGCCCAACAGTACAGCGCTCCAGGCAGCCGTTGATCAGGAAGACCGGGCAGGACTGAACTACAGGAGTTGCGAATATATTTGAGAGGAAAATGGAGAAGAAAGGCACACATGGCTTTGGCTTTTTCACATTGCTCTGCTTGATAACTGCTCAACATGCTGGGGCGAACATGGTATTTACGACCGCTATCGTTCAAACGCGTTACTTTAACACAAGTGACAACCAAACCGTGTTACAGAGCTGTGATTGTGGATTATATGGGCTCCACTCTTCTGTCACCTCGGCTTCCGGAGAGGTGACTCTTCCTATTTCGGATCCCTTAGCCTGTGGTCCCCAGACTGGCTTTAACAGCTCAGAGCCGTGGATAGCCCTTATTCAGAGGGGGAACTGCACCTTCGCTGAGAAGATCAAGACTGCTGCTGACAGTGGAGCCAATGGTGTGGTTATTTACAACCTTCCTGGTACAGGCGACGAGGTAACCCCCATGGTACACCATGGTGAGTGATTCGGTTATTTTCACTTCTCTCTTTTCCGCCCTATGTGTTAGTGCATGTGACATTTAGATCAGATGAATCCATAGACTATTTTGAAAGAGAAAGAAGAACCACCGTTTACATCAGCTGCATGGAGCGAAGGATTTGTTTGTATTTCCATGGAATGCAAAGTTGAAGTCTCACGTGTCTCCAAGTTGTGGCTTGTGCTCTACTTTTTAAACACAAGAAGGGGTAACACAACATACCTTCCAATTGGTAGTGCTTCAGCCTTTTTTGTTTTTCTATTCCTTACATAATTGCAAGCTTAACTAGAAAATGATATTTAGTGAAGTAAACTGAATTAAATGTGGTGTGCTTGCTAGTCTTGAAGTATTTATGGTTGTGAAATAGTGGCAGTAGTAATGAAAGTAGTGGTAATGTAGGCTATGTGTTAGTTATAGTGACCTATTTTGGGGTGGTTTGTAGGTGTAGAGCAGAGGACTCTGGTGGGAGGAGCTATAGGACAGGCTCATTGTAATGGCTGGAATGGAATAAATGGAACGGTGTCAAACATGGTCTCCATATGTTTGATACCGTTCCATTTGTGGCAACAAAAAAGGGGTTAAATGTGTCCAAAAAAAGGTAAATATTTCCTGAGCTTTCTTGTCCTAGATATAGGACAGACACTTCAAAACCAATTTAACTGTCTGTTTTGCCATTTATGAATGTGTTATTCAATGCGTTTCTATGGGCTATAGTAGTAAAGGCCAATTTTTTCGGGGATACTTACAGGGGTCCTAAAATTCTAAATCAAATAGCTAAATGATCCATGGTATGACCATCTTAAAACAATTCACAAAGGCTTAGACATTGAGGTTAAATGGTGGAAGACTAGTAGTGACCATCATTTTTACAATTCAAGTCTACGGCCCCTGAAATGCATTGGGATTTATGCAAATATCGTGGTAGTGTGAAAACTATAAGTAGTATCAAAAAGTTTGTCAAGTAACAGTACCAGTGCCAGTCTGTATATTTTAAAGTTGTTTTGGTAGCTTGAACGGTTAAAGAGCTGTGGCTTATCCAAATACTTCCCATTCAAGCCTATGGCGCTTTTATGCACATTTAAACAGTTAAAGTATAAATGGTATCAAAAAGCTGTATACAAGCAACCTTTTCGAGACCAGGTCTGCACCTTTTAAAGATTGAATGGCGCTTCTAGCTTAAACAGTGAAAGACTAGGTATGACCAGAATTTTTTCCATTCAAGTCTATGGCCATTGAAATGCATTGGGATTTATGCAAATGTGACCGGCCGGATCGATTCGGTCTTATGTAGCAAAATCTGAAATTGTGTTTTTTACATTGGATAAAAGTAGAGAGTCTGAGCTAGAAATTTGTATATCATACACTACAGTTGAGGAACAATGGGAAAGTATTTCTGCTTTGAAAGTTGATAAACTTGTAACCTCACTTTTGAGAAAATGGTCCTTGAATGTTTTGGTACACCTACTGGAGAGCTCTTCTTAGTCTACACCCATTCAGCATCATTCACACCCTCCTAAGCCTTAGCCCCACCCATCTCTTTAAGAATGTACGTAAGGCCATGTGCTAAACAGAGTGAAGATGGTAGTGTACTAAACAACCAAAGATTTCAAATCTAAAGGCTGTTTTATACTACGTCTATCGACATGTCTGTAGACAGTCGCAGTGACATTAATTGTCGTCCGTTATCAAACTTGTTGTTGTCGTTATGAAAAAGTATAAACACTAAAATGACAGGCTGCATGACATCAGCAGCCTGGTGGTCCAAAATAGCATTACTGTTGTATTTTAACACCAATAAACCCATCCGTTTAAAAATGAATTTAGTATATGTCAATCTAGCAAACCAGGCAACTAAAAGTAACTTTCTAAACAATGTTTTCGTTCATTTCTAGCTTGTTAGCTAGCTAACGTTAAGTTAGCTGGCTAGGCAGTTGAAATAATGACCATATCATTGCTGACAATGTCTTAACTTCAGCTAATTTTTATTGATTATTACAGGAAAAACTCACAACAAGATCATTATTTAAAAGTTAATGGTGAGCTAATTACAGAAAATGGCTTATGGTTGTGAGTGTGACGAAATAAAAGCAGAGCATTCTACCAGAATTGTTTTTACTTGGACACTGTCTCATTGGCCTAACGTTATATCCTAATTTGACTTTGGTGTAGGTCATGTTGTTCTTCACATTACCGTCTCTGGTAAACACACACTATATCAAATAAAATCTAAGTTTATTTGTCACATGCACAGGATACAGAAGGTGTAAACGGTACAGTGAAATGGTTACTTGCATAGTGGAGTCTTTTGTTTAGACATGTAGCTAGCTAGCTAAACAATTAACCATAATCCCAACTCATAACTTTACTACATGCATAAATCTGCAGGTAACTAAAGCTGACCAACTAGGTTGACGCTAGCTAACATTAGGCTCTAACTAGCAATGCAAATGGTTTTCTGAGATACAAATAATATTACTACATAGATCATACACGTAACGTTAGCTAGCGAGCCAGCCAGCTAATGTTAGCGAGCTAGTTAACAGTACGATTTAACTTGCAATGAAAACAACTTTGACTAAGTTAGAAACGTATAATATCTGAAAATGTAGCTAGCTAGACTCTCTTTCCCGTATACATGGATGAATCGCTTCTCCCTCTCTGTCACGGATGCCATGGTTGCCATGGTTTGAAGATGTAATCCGGAGGCAGATGTTTTATACAACTGCCATCTGTGTGTTCTCCTTTCGACTCCCTCCACATATTTGCTATCAAACGCCATAGTTTTATCCATCTCCTTAGCTATCATACTTTGCTTCCACCGGGCATTCCACTGATTTCAAAACTCAGTCAACTTCTTCCGTGACAACAACACTGTTGATCACCATTTTAGAAGACTACAACGTCTGGTTCAATTAAAATGTTTTTACCTAAATCAGGGATTTCCTCATCGTCTGATTAATTTTCAGAGTCAGAGATAGTCAGCATGGCACGATCATCCTCCAGAAAGTGGAGAGCATTAGCAACACTTTTGCAGTTCTTGACGCTACAAGCTTGGCACACCTGTATTTGGGGAGTTTCTCCCATTCTTCTCTGCAGATCCACTCAAGCTCTGTCAGGTTGAATGGGGAGTGTCGCTGCACAGCTATTTTCAGGTCTCTCCAGAGATGTTAGATCGGGTTCAAGTCCGGGCACTGGCTGGGCCACTCAAGGACATTCAGAGACTTGTCCTGAAGCCACTCCTGCGTTGTCTTGGCTGTGTGCTTAGGGTCATTGTCCTGTTGGAAGGTGAACCTTCATCCCAGTCTGAGGTCCTGAGCGCTCTGGAGCAGGTTTTCATCAAGGATCTCTCTGTACTTTGCTCCGTCGATCTTTCCCTCGATACTGACTCCCAGTCCCTGCCGCTGAAAAACATCCCCACAGCATGATGCTGCCACCATCATGCTTCACTGTAGGGATGGGGCCAGTGACTCTTGGCATTCAGGCCAAAGAGTTCAATCTTGGTTTCATCAGACCAGTGATTCTTGTTTCTCATTGTCTGAAAGTCATTTAGGTGCCTTTTGGCAAACTCAAGCGGGCTGTCATGTGCCTTTTACTGAGGAGTGGCTTCCGTCTGGCCACTCTACCATAAAGGCCTGATTGGTGTAGTGCTATAGAGATGGTTGTCCTTCTGGAAGGTTCTCCCATCTCCATAGAGGAACTCTGGAGCTCTGTCAGAGTGATCATCGGGTTCTTGGTCACCTCCCTGACCAAGGCCCCTTCTCCCCCGATTGCTCAGTTTGGCCAGGCGGCCAGCTCTAGGAAGAGTCTTGGTGGTTCCAAACTTCTTTCATTTAAGAATGATGGAGGCCACAGTGTTCTTGGGGACCTTCAATGCTGCAGGATTTTTTTGGTACCCATCCCAAGATCTGTGCCTTAACACAATCCTTTGTTTTTGCTCTGACATGCACTGTCAACTGTGGGATCTTATATAGACAAGTGTGTGCCTTTCCAAATCATGTCCAATCAATTGAATTTACCACAGGTGGACTCCAATCAAGTTCTAGAAACATCTCAAGGATGATCAATGGAAACAGGATGCACCTGAGCTCAATTTTGAGTCTCATAGTAAAGGGTCTGATTACTTATGTAAATAAGGTATTTGTTTTTTATTTTTTATAAATTTGCAAAGATTTAAAACCTGTTTTCACTTTGTCATTATGGGGTATTGTGTGTAGATTGAGATTTGTAATTTATTTAATCAATTTTGGAATAAGGCCGTAACATAACAAAATGTGGAAAAAATCAAGAGGTCTGAATACTTAATCTGTATCTTAATCTGCAACAAATCTGCCAATAATTATTATTTTTTAATGTCTGTGAAACTGTACGTTTAACTTGTGGATTACTTGTGGATTTTGAAAATACAATCTAAAATCAAGATGTCAATTTGTTTGTCTACATGCAGATATTGGAGTAAACAGATTTTGGGTTTAAGACAAGTAACTATGAGTAAGGGCAAACATCATGATAAGCTTGCAAGCTGAGTTTGAATAAGACATCCGATTAACACTTTGCATTTATAACGGTTGGTTTTACTATATCAAATAAATAACCAAATCATTGATGGATCAATAGGTTAAAAAAATAATTGTCTCTCGTCTGCCCCTGCATGCCGGTCGGCATACGTGTCATCACAACGCCTCATCTGATTGGTCGAGTAGGCTGGCCTTTTGACTTTGTGAGTGTGGTAACTAGTGACGACCCTACGGAAACTTATTTCTCAAAGCTTAGGATCCAGATCACGTTCTGCGCATGTGTTATCTTACGCACACTACATAGCTATTACTCACACTCCACCTCCCTTTAAGTTTCTCTCTTTACTCACCCACTTCTGAACCATGATGATGTAGCCTATCTCTGCCTCATATTTCTGAATTGCTTAAATAAAAAACCCTGCAGCAATTTGAACTTACATTCCCAAACATATTTCATGAAGGCTAACCTGCTCT